CACACACACACTCACACACACACACACACAGACTCTCACACACACTCACAGACTCTCACACACACTCACACACACACACACAGACTCTCTCTCACACACACACACACACACACACACACACTCACTCTCACACACACACACACGAAGAGCGCTGACAGACGCGAGCAGAAGCGGTGGTGCGAGCGAGAGGTGCGTTACTTAGTCCGTAGGCGCTGCTGTCCTTCTTCCTCTTCCTGCAGATGGAGGACAGTACAGACGCGGCGTGGCTGAGCAGAATCAGCGGCGGCGGAAGCACCGGCTTGTCGTGGTACGCCATGATGAAGTGATAGCGCTGGTATTTCCACACCAGGTTGGATATGGACATCACCTGCATGTAGACGTTACTGCGGAGAAACGGCACGCTCAGTTACTCCGTGTCCTAACTAGGGTTGCAATAAGGTGGAGCATTTCCAGTAAATTTCAGAAATTTTGTAACCAACCAATTTTTAAACAAATTTTGTTACCATCTGGACGATGTTATAGGACACTGAAGGCAACTAAAGCAATATATAAACAAACCTTTGCGCCATACGCAATAAGTCTTTTGAATAAAGGGTAGGATTAGTGTTTTCAAGTTCAAGTTCAAGTTGAGCTTTGTTGTCATTCTGCTGCATGTGGGGACATACAGTGGAACGAAATGTCGTGCCTCACAGGACAACCTTATTATCAGCAGAGTAACTACATGCAATTCCAACGATTATGTCTGGCTTCCAAAACGTCAATCGCAAAAGTTAAAATGTGTCTGTGATCGCTGATGGCGATGTACAGCTCGCGAAGCGCGTCCTTAGCGTTTGCACATGGGGGGATGTAAACTGCGACAATAACAATGGCCGTGAACTCCCGCGGCAGATAGAACGGTCGACACTTCACAAACATAAACTCCACCAGCGATGAACAGTGTTTTGTCACTACCACAGCATTGTTACACCACTCTTTGTTGACGTACACACACAAGCCACCCCCGCGAGTCTTACCAGACAGTGCTGTATCTCTGTCCGCTCGGTAGCAGCTGAGTCCGTGCAGCTGAATAGCGCAGTCCAGGATATTGTCGTTTAGCCATGTTTCAGTGAAGACAAACACACAACAATCCCTTGTCTCATGCTGTGTAGACCGACTGAGTTGAATTAAGTCCAGTTTATTTTCCAGAGAGCGAACGTTTGAGAGCATGAGTGATGGAATCGCTGGTCTAGTGGGGTTAGCCCTTAGCCTAGCTCGTGTGCCTCCACGCTTGCCGCGCTTCTGTCCCCTCTCACATCGCCGGCGTCGCCGTGTTGTGCGGGTAGCATCAGCAGGCGAGGCCGCGGTCTCGGGGTTCGGCTTCAGCAGCAGACAGAGGCCTCGTAGCTTCTCAGTAGTCACCGGCGAAAGCTGTTGTTTGTACTCACTGCCGATTTCCAGAAGGCTCTGTCGATCATAGATGTGTTTCCGAGTGTTTATCTGTTGATTTTGCGATAAGATGAGACTGTTTGAAGACGAGGAAACGAGACTAACAGACATAAAAACACCGTTTTTGGGACCCGGAGTAGCCGCTGCGTCCGACCGCGCCGCCATCTTGGATTTTAAGGAGGAATGAATGTATTAATTATTTATTAGATGTGTTATGTGAATTGTATTGATATGTGAATTGTACTGTTATTGTTGTATGTAAGCGAGACCTAAGACCAATTTTCAGCCAAGGCTGAACAATAAAGTAACTAACTAACAAAACTTTCCAGGATTTTTTTGGAATCTTCCGGGAATTTTTAGAAAGTAAATTCTGGAAATTTACCAGACATTTTCCACCCCTTTGCAACTCTAGTCCTAACTGCACACGACGCGATGCCGCGGCACGCGATAAAAGCTATCTTTTTCATGTTAATCTGAGTTTTTGTCCTAACTAGCCGCGACATGCAAAACTTCTATGTGGCTGGAGCACATTGATTAAAATATGTGACGATTCAAATCCAAACAAATCGCGATACAATTGGAGTAGGAGTTTATATGAATGTATCTCTGAGTGGAACTGACTGTCTTTAGAAACGTTTAGATGGTATTTTCTTTTCATCTTGCCTCTGAACGATGCATATTAAAGTTCATAAAGCACTGCGCTGCTTTGTTTACAGCGGTAACCAAGGAAACACTGTATCATTGCTGTTCATAAGCAGCTCTGCTTTGTTTACAGCGGTAACCAAGGAAACACTGTATCATTGCTTTTCATAAGCGCCACCTGCTGGCAGAGAGTGAATCTGCGTCTCCTTCAGCTCGTCTGCTGCTTCGTTCAGATATTTTTTGTATAGTTTCATAAAACTGAAGTCAGACCATTCTGTTTTTGCTTCAAATTTTGAAATTATACAATCTAATTTAGATTAAAAACAGCTCATGTTGCATGTATGCTGCATCTTTGTTTGGATCGTGATTAAAATGCAGTGGTTGCCTCTCATTTTAAATGGAAAGAGCACAGACAAAGCTTTAATTTGTCTATATGAAGAAATTACTTTTGATTTGGGGTTTGTTTTCAAATTTCAAGTTAGTTTTGTTATATTTCAATTTCACAAAGAAACGTGCAGCATTTTGTCCAAGCAATAATAAAAGGACACATTTTCATTTACTGTATAATTTGTCTTAAATCTCATTTTGTTACAAAAAGATAGTGAGAAAATCGACTCGTGAGTTGAGTGAATCGTTACATCCCTAGAATCACCGAGTGTATTCCATAACAAAGATGGTATCAGTCACTCAGTATGTACATTTAATAAAGTTAAAAAGGTTTAAGGTTTATGAGTTAGGTTATAAACTTATCCATTTCATTGTGAGTGCAGAGCGCTTCCAGAGAGGCTCCGCCCACACACGCTTCTGATTGGCTGTGATATTTGACTGATTCTGTCGTGTCTGGTGTGGACACACAAACTGCTTGTTGCGTCGCGTGTAGTTAGGACACGGTGTAATGCTGACCCTAGCAGCGGTATGGTCACTCACTTGAAGAAGGCGATGAGCAGGTTGACCATCAGAATGTACTGGACAAACAGATAGACGGCCTGCAGCAGCGGCGTCAACCACACACCCGTCGCACACAGCTCCTTAGCGTGATCCTCGCTCGAGTTCGCACACACTGCCAACACACACACACACACACACACACACGCCATCACTAGATCATCATTAGAACTAACAACACTGCACTGCATCATATGAGCTGATTCTGAATGAAATCCAATACTAGTTTCACACTCATTTTCTGGCACCGATTCCAAACAGATAGTGTCTGTTTTGCTCTTTCACGTCACATTTTCTCACTAAATTTCGTAGCATTTATGCATTCGAGAATCATTTGTGTGGTGAAGTAGTCTCATATTTTACATAACTTGACAAACCTGCATTCTATTTTTACATTCAGCAGGTGCTTTTATCCAAAGCGACTTACAAATGAGGACAACAGAAGCAATCAAAACCAACAAAAGAGCAGTAATATGTAAGTCTCAGTTAGCCTAACGCAGTACACTAGCAAGGCTTTTTTTATATAATAAATAACAAGAAAACTAGTAGATAGAATAGAAATAGAATAGAGTGCTAGTGTTAGAGGGTCAAGTGTAGATCAATATTAGTGCTGTCAAACGATTAATCGCGATTAATTGCATCCAAAATAAAAGTTTGTTTACATAATGTGTGTGTGTGCTGTGTATATTTATTATGTATATATAAATACACACACGCATGAATATATTTCAGAAAAATATGTTATGTTTATATATTGAATATATGTATTTATAATATAAATTATATGAATATAAATATATACATGTAAATATTTTCAAAATATATACTGTATGTGTGTGCATTTATATATTCATAATAAATAGACAGAACACGCATATATTACGCAAACAAAAACTTTTTGTATGCGATTAATTGTTTGACAGCACTAATGTATATATATAATTAATCCTGATCAGCACTATATATATATATATATATATATATATATATATAT